AACTCCCTTAGCTCATAAGGTGTAGGGGCCTTAACCCCAGGCCCAAACAGCCCGCTACTTTCAGCACAGCTTGGAAGCTCTTCGAGAGCAAAAGACATTGAAAGGTATGCGCACTTTGAACACCCACCAGGCCATGTATTGACATAGTTGAACCCTATCTTCGTTCTTGAGGCAGTGCTATAAAGTAGCCTATTTCATGTGTCTAACCACAGCCCCAGGATTAAGGGTAACATCAGAATCAATTAGCACCTTTTGTGTGAGAATTTTTCTGCCCAAGCCCCCCATGCCTACTAATTCTAATTGAGCCTAGCTCGGGCTCCCTTTCCTCAACAATAATATTCATTCTTCTTCTTCTCTTATTCATTGACCTCCCAAATCCTCATAATTCTTCTTCTCATCTTCTTTTTTCTTTTGACCCACCTCCAAAAGGGGCCAACATTTCTCTCCTAGCATCAGCTATTACAACATTGCATGGGGCTACAATACCTCTAATACTAGCCAATTGTCTCTTTACTCAATGTATGCCAGTCATATAAATATTTTTTCAAAGCTTGAATTCCTTAAATATTTTTACAAAGCTTGAATTCCACAATACTCCTATATTCTGGATCTGGCATAGAGGCCAATTCCAACCAGGATCACTAGGTTTATTTGAACTGAAAGATGAATTGTGACCTACTCAAACACTCAAACCTGAAAAATTCATAAAATCGAAATCTAATCTTGAATACATGCAAGATGCAACAAATCAACACCTAATATTGAATAAACATATTAAAACCCAAAAAATTTAAAAAGTTGATAAAAAACCTAATATGGAATAAACATATTAGAACCCAAATATCAAAAAAGTTGCTAAAAAACCTAAAGATTAGAATAGGCATAATGAAACCCAAACCCATACAAGAAATAATTTACAAAAACCAAAAGGTTCAAAATTGAAATTTAAAACTTGATAAAATACAAAATAATTATTTAAAAAACCACTAAACTAAAAACTAATCTTGAAAAAGGTCATCATGAAACCGAAACCCCATACTGAAAGATTTTTACAAAACCAGAAGGTCCAAGATTGAAATTCAAAACTAGAAAAAAATGACAAAACCAAAACCCAAATATTTGAAAAGTCACTAAGCCAAAACCCATTCTTAAAAAAAGTCATCAAGAAACGCAAACACATCATCGTAATCATCATCATCATCCAAGCTTTATCCCAACTATTTAGGGTCAGCTACATGAATCATATTCTGCCATTCCGCTCTATCAGGGCCATACCCTCAGCCGGACCATAAGTCACCATATCTCTCACTACTTCCATTCGTGTCTTTTGGGGGCATTCCCCTTGCCCTTTTAGAACATTCCACTTGAACCAAATCACCCCTCCTAACTTGTGTTGTACTAAGTTGACGCTACACATGACAGACTACCTACGTCGACTTGCCCTCATTTTATAGCCTATTAGAGCTAACCCTAAGTTCCTTCAACTGTATCCATTTGGAATTCAATCCATTCTTGTCTTGTCACTCATCCATCTCAACCTCCTCATCTTAGCTACACTCATTCTATGGATATGTTGTTTCTTTGAAACATAACAAATACGTGAAAATTTTAAAAAACCAAAAGGTCTAAAATCAAACTTTGAAACTTGAAAATAAATCACAAACCTAAACCTAATCTTCAAAAATTATCAACAGACCCAAACCCATACTTGGGAAAAAGAAAACCAAAACTATCTTGAAGAAAAAAGAAAAAAAAAAAACTCAATATTGAAAAGTATCAGCAAACACTAGCCTAAAATCGAAACAAATTAACCCTTCAAAACCCCATCAAAGTTGGTCAATATCAGCGAACTTTGTTTGGAAAAACAACTTTTGAGTTTCACAATCAATACTTCCCATCCTTTTAAATTTTGCAAAATTTTGAAAGAACCCCAAAAAATTCAACCTTCAACAAAGATCTTTATTTTTTAGGGCCTACTACCACCTAACTGAGCACCTAACTGGGCATCAGTGCCTAGGCCACCTAACTGGGCACCTAATGACAGGGCCTACTACCACCCTTTGGCAGGACACCTCCTTGGCCACATGGCCAAGGTGCTAATCGCCTAGATTTATGGCCCATTACCACCTTTTGGCAAGGACACCTCCTTGGCCACATGGCCAAGGCACTAAGCACCTAGACCACATAGGTGGGCACCTAGAAGAGCCTCACCCTAGGCCCGGTCCATGCCTAGGAGGCATAGGGCCTCACTCTAGCGCCATACTATTTTTTCAAGCATTTATCAACAAATGGGAAATACAAATAAGAGGCCAAGATGTAGGCTTGAAAGAGTATAATAGAATGTCTTCTAGTGTTCAAGAGGAGGCCTATCATGGCACCTTGCATGGGCATCTGGGGCACCTCAATCATGATGCACCTGCCTAGACGCCATAGATGGCACCTTCCGCCTTCAAAAACACTAGTGAACCATGTTATAAAGACACATATACTCGTGTTAGCATTTGACATGAATACAGGGGACAAAAACATCAACAAAATTAGACTTTCAGACATGACACTTCCATTCATCAAAGGAACGGGGATGGGGGATTTTAAGTGATATTAAAAATATATAACTACATCTCAATGGAACAGGTTAGCAGAGAAGTGTCTAAGCTATAAAGTGCCAGATAAGCACGTCATGTCCTTGATGTGTCAACAAGTGCCTAAAAGCCAGAGACATGTGTCCAAATTTCATAGGATATAAAGAATTCTCTGGTAGGGGCTAGGTGTGAAGACCATTGAGTACATACAAGCGATGGGTATTGGCGCAATTAAGTACAATTCCAGTTAGGACAAAGTCATGGCTAATATGTTTACTTGAAAATTTGCTCAAGTGATCTCTCCTTACATATATGATCAAAAGAGCATAGAAAGTGGGAGGAGAAATGAGTGAGAGTGAAAAAAGCTTCCTATATTAAAGGCTTCAACATATGAGTAAGCAAGTGCGAGAAATCTAAGAACAAAGGTAATGGAGCCTATGGAGAAGAAATTCAGAATACTATTTGTAAAATAAAAAAGGGTAGTTAGATAAATGGGACAATCAATGGAAAGATGAAGGGGAAAGGCATTAGAAAGGAGTACGAAGGGTTCTGGTATAGAAAATATTTTGGTAGGAAAAGAAGAAAAATAAGGAAGTGGAAAAAGATGGATGAAGAATATTAAGTTCAAGAAAATAGAGAACCTGCTCACTTTAGTTTATTAAGAACAGAAAGCTAGACTTAATTTCTTGAGAGAAGTCTCTAAGGCTTCATGATGGATAGTGAACAATTGGATTGAAAACATGGAAGCGATGCCAAGTCCCAAGGGATCAAACCTAACAAAGTAGATGTAATGTAATTGTTCAACACCATCTCCAAGCCTTCAACTGCCAAATAGGTCACCCCAAATCCAATCGCTCTATTGTTCAATGCCCACCACCCACCCACCCCCAAAACAAAAACAAAAACAAAAAAAAAGCCCGGCCTCTTCCTTTGGAGGGCACCCATCTTAACCACTTCTCAGGCTATTTGGAGGAAGAGAAACCATTGTGTTTTCCAAGATATTAAGAGAAGTGCCGCCACATCCAATCATGCTAGAGATCTAATAGTCTTTTGGGCTGGAAACTGCAAATCCACAACGACCTCATATGCTTCTCTAACGTGGACTTTGAGAATAATTGGTCACTCACTCTCCTCCAACAAACCTAGGAGACCTCCGCGTGGATTCCCCCTCCTAGAGGGATGATCAAGCTTAATATAGATAGATGCTCTGAAGGAAACCCTAGTCCTTACAGAATTGTGAATATTTTAAGGGATGCACAAGGAGGCATCATTTCTTCTCTTACTGCCCTCATTGGATTGGGAGACTCCAACTGGGCCAAAGCTTGGGCACTTCTCAAAGGCTTTAAAAAATTAAACCTATTCTAGAGCGGCAGCTCTTGGTAGAAGGAGACTCAAAGAACATCATTTCATAGGGCAAGAAAATTTTTGACAATCTTGGAGGTTAACTCACATATTTAACCATGTTTTCCACTTGTGCAGGCGACTTTGAGTCACCTTTCGTCATACCTGATGGAACGCGAATTCAGCCACTCGTGCACTAGCAAAAACTAGTAAACAATCTTGAGATTTTTGGTTTTTGGAGATTGTTCTCTTTCTTATACATGTTTGTTCCCTCTTCAGTCCTTTCTTCGATCTCTTATTTTCCTCCTCCACTCCCCATTTCTATACCCCCGTCTACCTCTAACTGCTCTTCTATATCCATTCCTCTTCGCTTTCTATCCCTCTCTATACCACCCCATCTACTTATGCCCCATCTTTATCTCTTTGTGATGGCCCACAACACTCAGCGCCCAAAGAACAAAAATAAAAGGGCAGGAAGACACACCCATGCAACTCCCAAAGAGGGAGCAGAACAATGCAGTAGCTTATGTAGCTATGAAATAAGTGAAGTTTATGGGTTCATGTAAACTACCTACTAGCTAGATAGTTGTGTCCGACAATTGCAAATACACTCCTCAAACGAACTCAGAATAATTCTATACAAAACAAAAAGAATCACTTTTCAGCGACAAAAAAAAAAAACCATAGCCGAACCAATCTAAAGAAATATAATCCCAAAAATGTGAAAAAAAGCAAAGATAACGTGACATCAAAATATCATTTGTTCAACCCTATCAAACATGTTTACCGAGAAAAACAAAAAGAGAGAACAAATCTATAATACACAATGAAAAAGGAACAAAACAGAGCAGAAAACGTGAGCAGGAAAGAAAACAATTCCAGTAAGAGCCAGATTAAGCAACTTTACCAAGCAAAGAAATATAATCATCCCGAAGAGTTATTCAGAAGAGTGAGAGAAAGAGAGTGAAGTAAAGACAGAGAGTTTGTATGTGGAACATACAGAGAGAGAAAGAAAGCGAGAGCGAGAGAGAGAGAGAGATAGAAATAGAGAGAGATAGGGTGGGGAAGAAGGCATACCTGGTTCAAAATGAAGCTTTTTCCCTGTCTTGCACGACCACAAACCGAAACCACACCAATAGGCTCTTTAACAAGCTGCAGCATGGCCACCGCCTCAGGATCCATTTGAAACTTCCCCTTCTCATCACAATAAACCAGTCTCAGAGGCCTCGCAGGTCCAGTTGGAACACTAAGAGACATTGACGGAGAAGGAGGGACTACAGCATGAGGCTCATCCCTCTCTTTCGGAGAGGGACTTCGAAACTTCAACATTTGCATCATCTTCTCGAAACCCTAGCTCCCTCGGAACCAGTATCAGGATGAATTTAAAAATATATATATATCCAAAACCAAGACCAAAGAAAGAGGAGAGCACAGAGAAGATCTGCAACGGTCAGTAAAGCCCTTCTCCTGAGTGGAACGGCAATTTTAAAATGAGGAGAGAGCCAAGGGTGCGCTTTCGGTCTTTTTATGCGAATTGCCAGGACCTATGATGCGGTTGCTTTAAACCGAAGCCGAAATTTCGGTTTCTAACTCGTTGGACTGAGCTCGTGTTGCGCTCGAATCCTCGAGTTAACTTCGTTACACACAACCACATTTTAGGCTGATTAGGTCGGCCCATAAAAATGTTGTCTCGACCGGTCACCAGATCGATAAGGGCCACAGGTTGGCCCCGACCGGTCTAAAATATAAAATAATTAGAGAAATGATTATATAAGACCTTCTTCTATCCATGTGTGTATCTTCTACCCATGTGTAAGATCTCAAATGACCACCATTAAATTTGGCATGAATCTATAAAAAAAGTCAAGTCCTACACTCATATGATAATTTTTTTAGAGATCCGTGTCAACTTTAATAATGATCATTTTGGATCCTATACATATGGGTGGGGAGGGTCCTATAGGATTATTGCTCAAATAATTGCAACTTTAAAATATAGAATTACGGATGCATCTCAGACATCCATCGAAAAAGGTTGTTTTAATGTTGAAAACCCATGTGATTGATCATTTCGACATCGAGATACATGACTATGAAAAATAAAAAGGTTTTGAGTATCATAAATAATGCATCTTACAACACATTATCTACATTGTCCATTTTCATGATTTTCATATATTTCTAGATCTACTTGATTTTAACCATTTTTTTAATTTAAAATTTTATAATAAGATATAAAAATAGATTTTGAGATAATTCTAATAACATTTTACATCAAACTTATATATTATGATAAAATTTGAAGGTGCATCTTAGTTGGATTGTTTAAGGTTGCAACCTTATGGAAACCACACCCTTATAATAAGGCAAGTTTTATATGCTTATATGTTTCCCCTTATCCAAGCGTCAGTATTGAATGGACGGCTAAGATTGCTCCAATCACAATGTCACATCTCTACACTATTTTATTTTTAATTTTTTATGTAAAACATTTTGACACCAAAGTTTGGACATCCAATCCTCTATTAAAATCGCATTTGTAAAAAATATTAAAAAAAATATTCTCAATAAAATAAAATGACCAAAATACCTTTGAAAGTTTCAAGAGGTCTTTTGGTTATTATATTTTATCGAAAAATTATTTTAAATATTTTTTATAAAAGTGCCCCGATGAGAAGATGACACGTATCAAATTTCATATTCATACAATTTGTATTAAAATAATTAAAAATAAAATACTATGAGGCATTGGATCTAGGATCAAATGGTGAGTGACTCACTTGATCAAAATTGGACGGTTGGATGGTAGGAGAAGCATAGATCTTCTATGGTATAGATGAAGTATAAAAGCAATTTTGTCTATGAAGAGATTATTTATCTTTTGTACATAGAAGTCGCAATCATTCATGTCTCTTCAAATTCAAAATGAGTAGTTGTAAGAATGTAGGGAAACGATAGTGACCACCACATACAAAAGATGAAGGAAATTTGTTTCATATGGGCTGGACCGCATTTCTACAATATGTGGTTCAGGAAGTATAAAGCATCCATTTTAAATATGGATGCAAATAGGTGGTTCATCTAAAAACAATTGTAACTAACAGTCCAAATGTTTTATTAATACAATTATTATTTTTAGTTTTCAATCTTATTTTATTTTTTCATATTCATGATCTTCATGTTAAAAAGATTATATATTTTCTAAAAATTATGATCAAATTATATTTAAAAATATATATTTATTGCCAAGCCCACATTTCTACATTATGCAGGCTGGGCGCATAGAAATCGTGTCCAAAGATAAATGGTATCTTTGTATACAATCCCTTATTAAAATGGTAAAATAAATAAAATAAGGAAAATTAATTCAAAGTCATATTAAAACTAAATAAAATTTTCTCTTTTTTTTATTTATGTTTTTCATTTTATATTTTTTGTTTTTCGCTAATTGGATTTTCAATTTTGTGTGTATTTTCCAGACCAAAAATTGAAAAGGAAAAGTAGAAAAATAAAAAAGTGCCCCAAATATAGTTTTATTTGTTGTTTTTAGCGGCTCCTCCATTGCATAGGCTCGACCTACCACACTTGAAAGAGAACCAATGTAGATAGAGGATATGGTGCTTTTTGAAACCAAAAAAAAATTGATTTTATTTAGGATTTATTTTTTATTAAGCCCTTAAAAAGTACAACATGAAAAGTTGAAATAATATATGTAAAACTTATAAAGCAAAAAACAATTTTTTTATTATTATTGTTTCTCCTATTTTTTATATTTTTTGGTAATATCTTGACGATTTTATAAATTGTAGAAAGCCCTTCAAAATAACCTAAATTTGATATTAAAAACAAAGAAAAATACAAAATTAAAAAAACTTAGTTCTTATTTCTTTTTATTTTTTTTAACGATAACGTATGACTTATCATTAATTCAAATGTAAAATACAAGATATTCAAGCACAGACATAAGATTACATAAATGAAGTAACTAACAGCGAAAGTGTATGGACTCCTCCTTTGGCAATAATATCTGCATCTTCATTCGCCTCTCTATAACAATGTTTGACCATTGTTAAAGAGGTTAACAAAATATCTCAAATTTGATGAAAAATAGTATTTAATCTATAAGGAATATGGGCCTTTCTCTTACTCCAGGCAATGACGTTTGCCGAGTCTCCTTGGATAATCTTGCCCCCTTCTAAAGTGCATAACAAGTTCAAATCTTTTAATAAACCTCGTGCTTCTGCCGCATTTGTTGTTGTAATACCACAAAGACCTAAGTATTGCTGCTGAGACCACTATAGCTAACTGGTTCTAGATTGCCAAGTGAAACTTCCATCAAACTTAAATTTGAAAGAATTCACTGGTGGTAGTATCCAAACAACCTCACTATGAATGTTGATTGTAAAACTCATTATCGCCACTACCAAAGTATTGCTAATGATAAGACTTTTAGGATTAAAGCCATTATCCTTATGTGTAAGGAACCAAACTGCTGCAGCTGCCAAAATATTTGATTTTAATGTAGACATATATGTACTTATATTATTAAAGACTATTCTATTTCTTTCATTCCACACACTCCAAAAAAAGCTAACCCAAATAGATCTCCAAATAATAGTTCCCATATTTGAAATATCGAGTGTGATCCATTGGTCGAGAAAAGCTCACATTTTGGGGCAAAAGTAATAACAGATTGAGGCACTGTCGAGCCCAATCCCAAAGATATGTAATAAAAAGGCATGAGAGGAAAAGATGTCATGAAGTTTCATCAATGTTTTTACATATGATACATACATTGGTGATAATAAACATCTTATTTCTCAAGTTGTCAACCGTTGCTAATTTATCTTGGCACATGATCCATATGAATAGTTGCACTTTAAAGGGCTGTTTGGATACTTGGAAATATTGTCTGTGAAATATATTACTGGCGTAATATATTATCTGCAAATGGATTGTTATTATTTGGATAGTATTAGATGCAACTTGGGAAATATGTGGCTACTGTTTGGCTATGTCTAGAAGAAATATGGGAAATGCATTACCAATATTTTACCAACACTTGCCTATAAAATATCATTTCTTTCTTTTTTTATCACAAACTTCCACTGAAATACGGAATTAAATTCATCATCACATCATTCCAAAAAGATTTTCTAATGATAACATCATCACTATTCCATAAAGATTTTCTAATAAGAACATGTACCATTCTAAAGTCATCATCACACAATCTCTTACTTATTTTGCTTGCCTTTGAAACTTACATAGAATCTCATGTCTTCTAACATGATTAGACATTAGTTTCAACATAATAAGTCATTGGAATAACATGATTGGGATAACATATTTTTATTGTGATAAACCTTATTTTTATTTATTTTTTATAGAAGTCTTTCAAATGTTTATCTATATAATTTCAAATAAGCAATAAATTTATGATACCAAATTAAAAATCTCAATGGTATAAGTTAAAAAATGGGAAGAAGTTTGATTAGTAAACTAGAAGGTTTGGTAATTGCAGTAGAAATATAAAATTGTCTCTCATCAAGTTCATTCAAATCAATTTAGATTTCTCCTACTTTCACTTACCAATTATTAAAAAAATTTGTTTTTATATGAGAGTCAGATGAGGGCTACAACCCAATTTTTGTTTTTATATGAGAGTCAGTTCAGAGCTACAACCCAAATGGGAGATAGAAGGATGTAAAAATTTTTTTATTATAATTGCAGTAGAAAATTGTCTCTCATTAGTTCGTACACCTATTCAATTCAATTTAGATTCCCCTTTTCATATCACATACTTTCACTTTTCTACCAACCTTAATAATTATACAATACATGAGAGAGTTTAAGAGAAGGAAATGTTTGGGCAGAGAGACGCACGCGAAAGATTTCCAAAGAATACGTATTAAAACGCTTAAGGAATCACCTTATGTAAACCAGTTATTAGATTTCTCAAGATTACCTGTCAAACGCGTAATAGAATTTTCACCTTTCACCGTGCGTAATGTGTTTCATGATTTTTTGGAAAATTTCGGGTAATCTCTTTCCATTTCTTTACTTGTACCAAAACGGTGGAAATGTCATATTTCCTCGTAATCGATTGTCATGTAATAGATTTTCAGGTACCCAAACGGCCCCTAAGAGGCACATGTAGTTTCTTAATATTGAATAAACCAGCATCCAACTCTCTCCATCATAAACTAATAGATTGTATGTTGACTTAACTGAAAAATCTCCCGAATGAATAAGATCCCAAATAAAGCTATCATCCATATTTGGAATCAAATATGTGTTATTCAATAATTCCAACAATGTTTGATACTCTTCAATGAATCTGTCTGTACCTCCCTTGTACCGACAAGGAAGGCAAGGAACGTACCAAAAATATTAGTATAAACACCTTCACTAGCCTCATTGACAAATGCTATGGGGTTTAAAGCTTTTAAAAAAACCTCAAGGAAAAAGTATCTCAATGGGTCGTCATCTCCAATTCATTTGTCAAACCAAAAGAAAGTGAATTATCTATTTCCCACTATTTTTTGGAATTACCATAAATACAAAAATATTGCATAGTCAATACCTCTCCAAACATGGGACAAACTTGTATTATTTATTGGTCTTTTAATGAGGCCAAAGTTCAAATCCATTCAATATTTTTCTTTCAGAACAAGCACCCAACAAGACGCAGGTTGTGTATGGATCATCCATCACCATTTTATTAAAAGTGCCGAATTCATATGGAGACCCAGGTTATTTCTTAACTTTTCAATATTTTTGTATTTTAAAAACCCTAAATAAACTTTCATATTACTAAATATTAAAAAAATTTAATATATACAACAAAAAAATTACTTGTGGGAAGAACAATATGCTTCAAGCTTGAGGTTTTGACGTTTTTAAAGCTTGAGCGAGAGAGGGATAGAGAGAAAAAGAAAAAAGGAAAATATCTCATTATATCTTGTTTTTTACTTCCATATATCATGAGACCCAAGAATTGAAAATATTACTTGTAAGCAAAAGATCTCCATCTTTTTTATTTTACAGCCCCTAGACCCCTTTGACCATAAATTTTTGACCCAAACAAACACTAAAATGTACCCTATACAAATTTCATCTCTCTCTCTCTCTAAAACTCCATCTTTCTTTCTTCACTTCTCGGCGAGTTTACCAGCCAAGGGGTTTAGCTTGAGCTCGAACACGAGCACACCTTCTTATGTATGAGAGAGATATGGAGTTGTAGAGAGAGAGATGGAGTTTAGGTTTTACAGAGAGATGAAGTTTGAGTTTTAGGGAGAGAGATGGAGTTTTGAGAAAAGAGAGAGATAGAGTTTGGGTTTTAGAGAGAGATGGAGTTTTGAGAGAGAGAGACAATGATATGAGAGAGATGGAGTTTTAAAGAGAGAGAGACAAATAGAGTCATTTCATAAGTTGTTGATGTCAATAATATATGGTCAAAAGGGTTTAGGGGGTTGGAAGATAAAAAAGATGGAGTCCTTTTTCTTACAAGTAATATTTTCAATTATTGGGTTTGATGACATATAGAAGTTAAAAATATGATATTTTCTCAAAAAAATAATCTCATGGGTCTCTCTCCCTTTAATATTTTTTATAGAACACTTAAGTTTTTTACGAGTTTGCCCTTAAGCTTGTTTAATAAGATGAAAGGCATTTAAAAAAAAAACAAAAATGAAAAAAGACAAGGGTAAAAACCTTCTTTTCCTCCCCCACTTTGGACCTATCGGTGCATTACATAAACTGGTCGATCAAGCGGTCTATTGGTTGGACCGGCCGGTTTGCAAGTCACGATTGTTGCCCTTTCATACACCGAACCGAATGCAAAAGCCACTTATTCACCAATTCCCTAGTGGAACTACCTAGTCCGGTTTGGTTTCTATATCAAGGGAGTTTTTTTTTTTTTCTTTTTGAGTGTTCTGTAAATTATTTCATTTTTTTCCCATATATATTTTTGTAGACTTGGGTAAGTTGGCCATATGTGGTGCAAATAGAGTACAACACTTACTAAAAGATGCGAGCGAGTTAATTCAAGTGAAATGCTCATAAACAACAAGTGTAGGCCCAAAATAACAAAGTTAAAAGTAGAGATAAAAAGACATAGGGACTTATAGGGCATGTCTCCTAATATGGTCGAATGGCAAACCAAGATTCATGTAGTCAACCCCAATTAGTTGGAAAAAATGATTTGATGACGAGGATGATGAAAATATAGAAATTTACCCTGATATTTCCCTAATTGTTGTTATTCAGAAATTTCTGCCAGCATGTTGTATTATATTGATATAGTTTTTCAAATTTGTTATTTTTCTAAAATGCCTCTATGGTGGACTTTCAAGATCCAAAAGTCTTGAAGTTTTGAAATAAAGTTTTGTCAATTATAACTTTGGGCCTTCAATATATAATGTCATTTATTTATGTCAGGTCTTGAAATTTTGAAATCAAGGCTAATAATAAAAAAATCTTTTAGGTTGATTCTTTGGTTTTCTAAAATAGATTGTATACAATAAGACCATTTACATTTGGAATAGGGAGGTCACAATTACTTACAACCATCCAATGTGAAACATGATAGCTTGGGTGTGTCACAAAGTTCAAGAAAATTTATTTTGAACTTTGAGTTTGATCAATGAAATAAATGCAGCCACCCAATTTCAATCCAATGGTCAATATTTATTGTAATCACCTTGTACCAAAGGTAAGTGGTCTCATTATATAAGTGGTCTCATTATATACTTTCCCTTTCTGAAAATATGCCATGGGTTTTTTAAGAAGGAAAATTATGTCATATGGGCTGGACCGTATTTTTACATATGCGGTCCATAAAGTGTAAAGCATCCATCTTAAAGATAGATGCAAGTAGGTGTTCCATCTAAAAATAATGGAAACTAATGCTCCAAATGTTTTCTTACTAGAATTATTATTTTTAGTTTTTAAAATTTATTTATTTTTTCATATTCATGATCTTCATGTTAGAGATTACTTGTCCTTAAAAATTAAATATTAAAATCCATCGCAAAAATAGATTTCTTATGAGGCCCGCATTTCTATATATTTGGGCTTAGCCACATAGAAATTGGCTCCTTTTTAGAAAGTTTATTTTTAAATATTACGTTTAATTTTGTTTTATGCTATGTTGGATAACTTAAACAATTATTTTGTAATGAGAAGAGATATGGTGACCTATTGTCCGATTGAAAATGTGATCTTTGATAGAGCGGAATGACGGAAGAGGATTTGAGCAATCAATGCCAAATAATTAGGACAAGACTCATATGATGATGGTGATGATGGTGCTTTTACTTGATTTCTCATACATTTTATTATTTTTGTTTGATTATATATATATTATTTAGAAAAAAGTTTAGTTTTTCTAAAACTATTGATATTTAATATATCATTATTAAAATTTAATGCATTTTAAACCAGCGTTCTAAACAACGGATAGGGCTGACTAGTGGGTTATGGCCCGATTCGATTAGTCCAACTAGATCGGCCGATTAGTGCCCCGATTTGTTTTGAAAAATGTAATTTTGGTAAAAAATCCCAAAAGATCTCAAAAAAATTGTAAAAAATGTTTAAATTTTACATGTATTATTTTTTTATATGTTTCACATAAAAAGGCAAAAAAATAAATATTATAATCGTAATTGGATTTCGAAGAAAATGATTAGGCACATGAAGCAAAACTTTTTCAGTGATCAATATATAATAAATGAGTAATGATCCTATGAGACCCTCCCACACCCATGTGTGTAGGACCCCAAAGGATCAGCATTACATTTGGCAAGGATATGTAGAAAAGTCAAGTCCCACACCTATGTGATAAAATTTCTAGAGATCTATGTCAAATTTAATGGTGATCCTTTGGGGTCCTACACACATGAGTGTAGGAGGGTCTCATAGGAACATTATTAATAATAAAAATATATATTAATATTATATATTATATAATATGTAATCAATATATACTATATAATATAAATTACAGTAATATAATTAATATAATTATATATTATAAAATATTGTAATATTTAAACTCAAGACCTTGTTTTTTTTTTGGGTATTTTGGAATTCAATTAAAACTGTAGGTAAAATATAAAATTGTTTGTCTTTTGTGACAATTTTGATAAATTTCCATCTCTCTCTCTCTCATATCTGTGTCTATGCGCCCCTCGAGATGGTGTAGGTATTAGATTGAAGATCAAATCAAATGAACAACGAATAAATTTTATATCCCCGCTTTGAGGAACCTACAGGCTTGGCACCTTGGTGCGCTCGACCAACTCTGGTGCATCTGAGTCTACTCGCCAAGGCGGCAAACCCTGCAGTTAGCAAATATTTTTTTAAATAATATATAAAGTTTTAAGTAGAGAAATAGAAGAAAGAAAATTGTCTCATGGCTGGACAACATTTATACAATATGCGGTCCAAACGTGTAAAGCATCCATCATAAAGATGGATGCAAATTGGTAGTCCATCTAAAAACAAGTGTAACTAATGGTCCAAATGATTTATTAATATAATTATTATTTATAGTTTTAAAATTGATGTTATTTTCATATTCATGATCTCCATGTTAAAGATTATATATTTTTCTAAAAATTAGGATCAAATTATATTTAAAAAGATAAATTTATTGCTAAGCCCCCATTTCTACAATATCCAGGCCCATAGAAGAAGAGGGGAAAAAAAGAGAGGAGAATATATAAAAAAATGGCTATAAGGACAGCTTTGTAAACTCTACACTGTGACAATGCACTTATCGGCCGATTTTTAGAACAAATCACAGATTAGTGTACTAATCGGCCAATTGGTCCAATTAGTTGGCCAATAAAAAATTATTGCATACATGACCATTGGAATCGGGTCAGATCTGGATCGGTCAGTGACCGACCCCGAGTTAGTCAGCCGAACTTTTAAACACTCAGTTAAAGTATGAGTATGACCTTCACACAAGAACTAGACTTTGAATACATATTTGACAATTTCATCAAATTATATAGAGTATCTATCGATTTTTCTGCAAAATAAACTCAAATGATTTCTAAAGAAATTTCAAATATATTTTCAAATTTTTTTACCGGTTCGCTTGCGCTAAACTCGGACGCGATTCGAGACACCCCATGACGGTTCCGCCACCCCAGTGGCGACGCAGAGAAAAAGCACGAAAGCCTTCCTCTCAGCGAAGAGGCAGCACTTCCTCAGTCACGCGCGCCTGGCTTAGCTCAACCCTCCCAACCCTCCCTAAACCATGAAATTCACGGACTCCCCAGTCATCTCGCTTCCCATCGGCGACAAAAGCCTAACCATCGAGCAAGACAACAGCTCGATGCACGTCGGCACCTCCGTGTGGCCGTGTTCCCTCGTCGTGGCCAAATTCGTGGAACGATGGGTGCTCTCAACCTCTCCCCAACCAGAAAATCCCTACTCCTTTCTCTTCCCCTTACGCAGTCGCCGAGCCATCGAGCTTGGCTCAGGCTGCGGCCCTGCTGGCATGGCCCTCGCGCTCCTCGGCCTCGACGTAACCCTAACCGACATTGCCCCTGTTATGCCCGCGCTTAAGCGAAACCTCAAAAGGAACCTTCGTTGTTTTTCTGGTGTCACCAAGCCTAGAGCAGTTCAGTTGTATTGGAACAATGAGCAGCAAGTTAGAGCGCTTAAGCCTCCTTTCGATTTTGTGATCGCGACTGACGTTGTTTATTTGGAGAATGGGGTGGAGCCCCTGTTGATGACCATGGAGAAGCTTTGCGGGCCGGAGAGTGTGGTGCTTTTGGGGTACCAGTTGAGGTCGCCGGAGGCCGATAGGTTGTTCTGGGAGATGTGTCCCAGGTTTTTTAGGGTGGAGAAGGTGAGGCATGAGGATCTGCATCCCGAGTATGCGTTTGACGAGACTGATGTGTTCATTTTGAGGAAAATTTGAAGGGTTTGTCACTGATTTCTTTTGTTTAGTGGCTTTTCCTACTTTTTTTCCTTACCTATTTTTCTTGTTGGGGGAGATAATCGTAATTTGTACTCTGATATCATCTGCTTTCACCACCCATGTAACATTTTTGAAAATGAATACCTTTTCACCTGACACTCGCTCCCTTTGTTTATGTTATAAGTAAGGCTTTGATGTTCAGCATTTTGATTGAATTCAAAGTTAAGATTGTTTACTCTCCCTTTTCCTATGTTATAGGTAAGGCTTTGATGTCAGCATTTTGGTTGAAATCGAAGTTAAGATTGTTGTACTTATTGTTACTCTTCTTCCTCCACTTACCATTGCTCATAGTGCTATTATTGGTAGTAACTTCATTGCTAGTTGGTTTCCTGCTTGATTAGTGACTTACGAATTTGAATGAACTGTAATATGCATTACAATCTTTGATTCCCATGATGAGTTCTGATATCAGGCATTGGAATGTTGATATCAAGTACGGGAATGTCCATATCTAATATTAGAGTATGCTGCATAAGCATGGAATTTTGGGCAGTTGTGTCAAACTTAGCAAGGTAACTTTGGCATATGGTCGGGAAATAGCCTATTTAAGATGCTATCTAAATAGGCGTTTAATTCTTGCTGCAACATGTTATTAGTCATATGTTTCAGCACAAAGGTTCCACAATAAGCCTCAAGGCTTTCGATAGCTAATGCCACTGTGTACACAGTTCGGATATGAAATACACATGGGAGTTTACGGGCCCGTTCCTCCATAACTTGGCATCACTATCCCTTTATGTAAAATGATATGTTGGTACCAATTTCTAAATGCGTGCTGTTGTGGGTGTCTAACTTTATGTTAAAGGGTTAAATTTTTTGTATATGCGAGATTTCATGGCTTATATATTAGGGTTTTGGAATTGGCTAATAGATAGTTTAATAATTCAAAGTGGAGGAATGGTCCGTTGTACGTTCTCTGGAGTCTGGGGAAACTTCAACTGTCCAATCCAAAAGGAAAGGCATGGCAAAGGATGGTCAGGGTATCTCTTAAGATGAGAGACATTGTTGCTGTTGAAGGCGCTTGAGGGAAGTGGGCTAGTTAGGGATGAAGGTTTAAATTTGGCATAGAGCGTTTAGCCTATTAATCTTTGGAAAGGCTTGTCTTCTTATTGTGTGTGTATTTTGACTTTGAGGCTTTCAATAGGCAGCAATTATGATGGCCATAAATATTTAAGTCTATGTTTTCTACATATGGGTAAAGAGTGCAGAGTCGGGTCAGAAGTCAACAAAGAGATGCAATATATTGCTGAATGATGAGGTCCACCTTTGCTTTATGTGGCTTACTTTGTGCTATTTGAAGAGGAGGTATGTACACGCTGTTCATTTCCAAGATAATTGATGTTCTAGTTCATGATTTTTGGCATATCTTTTACTATGAAGAAAGGTGGTTCAAATAGATTTTGTAGGACACATTGGCTTTCATGGATGCTAGGTGGTTTTCTGTATTGCTGTTGTCACGTCTATTTGTCTTCTTCTGAAGAGCAGAGGGATGAAAGATATCAAGAAATGCTGCCTATCTACCTCATGGGCGGCCTTTAAGAATGTGATACATAAATATAATTTCATATGGATCATTGATGGTCTATGAGGCTATATTGAGAATTGGGATTATGAGGATTTTATGTTAGCCATCTCTGTAGGTTAGGCATGGGATTTTGTGGTGGATTGGCAAAGGCATGCTGAGGATGGACACTCCATCATTCAGGGTATTATGGTCTACATGTGAAAGGGTGAGCTTTTTCTTCGATTAGCCAATGTACCATATAGTTTTTATAGGAGCTCAGATGCATGAGCCATGATTGTCTATCTCTTTGCTCTTTGCATCATGTCAAATTCTTCAGTGGGTGGCCTGTGAGCATGGTCTTGTTGATCGAGATATTATGCTAATAGGGTTGATGTTGCAGTTAATCTTAAATTCAATAATATATGGGAGGCACATGTTTCCTAGGTTTTGTAGATGATACTTCTTCAGGCATTTTTTGGAATATTTCTGGGACAAAGAAATAGAGGTCATGGAATTGGTCCTTAAGGCATATTGAGTAGTTATGAAATCATTTAAATGTGGGTTTGTTCATTGTGTTCATGATGCATTACATCTCCTTTTAGTATTCCATTGGGTATAACCTTCCTTATTTGCTGTAAACTTTGACTCTCTATTTAGTGATTCCTTTTTTTCTTTTTTTTGACTCTTAAATGATAAAGACCATCTTGTCTGCTATCGAAGTTGCTGCTTCCTATTTCAGGTAGGTTAGTGTGTGGTTTTTATTGGAGGCAAGCTTCGCGGGATTGAACACTTGACCTGCCCCCAAGCAAACTGAATGCCTGCCAATAAAGCACATTTGAACTCTAGATTTGTTTGTGAAAAATATGCTTCCAGCCATTTGAACTCTAGATTTGCAATAAATTTGTTGCTATTCAACATATGGATGAAAAATTGGGTATAGATATTCAACACATTGTTGGCAGCATTTGCAGGCTGTGTATCATATGCTTTTCCTTTTTCCTACTGCCAATTTATTTTCTTAATATTTTGTATCTCATTCCTACCACCATTACATCCTACTGGTGTTTCAAAAATGGCCTTTCTGCCTTCCTAGATGTTGCTCTGATTGAATGTGGTTTCCCATTTGCATCAATCACAGAATTGGCACATCTTCTAGATTTTAGCTTTTTGTTCCTGATGATGGTAGATTCATGGTTATGGTGGGAAACATGCACACTTCCCTATATCTTATTGAAAGCTGGTTAGGCCACATTTGCTCTACACGATGTTTTTCCGTTTTAACTCCTTTAACAGTACATAGCCGATGCAGAATGTACGTTTGGATTTTCCTTAATGCATGACATGCCGAGGATGATTGCATTGGGGGATTTCACTAGAGTACATTGTTGTAGGAGCCGCTTTGGACTTGTAGAGGACATGATCTGTATGTTCAAGGAGGACATCCAAATTGAGTGTTGGCGCCTATTTGCCATCAGTGATTGAGCTACTTATAATTTTCCCCTTATTTTTCAATGATATAAACCAGGATATTACACTGTGGGTTGTTAGTTTGGCACGAATGAGCACTTCTGTTCTCTGTCATCTGAAAATGATTGCTTTTTCCTTTAATTGGTTCATTTTGATGTGGATGCTCTCTCTATTTGCTCTATTTGCTTGTCTTACAACGTCACATTATTGCATGAAATTTATTGGTGATGCAGATGCTTCTCACGAGTAGCATTGAAATAGCAAAAAAAGTGTCAATTTGTTAACAAAAAAAGAAAAAAGAAAACCATAATTCTTATTGATCTTGCAAATGCAGGATTCATCTGAAAGAATTTCAGAACAGAATCAATCAATTTTTGACACAATGATTAGGGAAAATTAGTTTGCTGGCAGGTGCCGCATTTTAAGAGCTTGGGGCAAGAGCTGCCACCTCATATAGAGGGAGAGGGAGAGGGAGAGAGAGATTGCTTTTAACGATTTGATATGATGTGGATGAGAGCCATACCACTCCCATTTACTAGGATATCGTATTTAAAGGAGAGAATTTTATTTTCAAGCAAAGGGTATCATCCACATAATATGAGTGCTGGGATGGGAAATACACAGGCATGTGTCCACCGTACATTTTGAGAGTGGAGATTAGAGATGAAACACCGCAGTGGCAGTTAGTACCTCCCATTCATCTCTACACTATCGTTCCCTAAAAGATCTAAAATAAGTAAAATATATGAGTTAAAACTTTTATTTCTTTTTTTGACAGTTACTAGTGGGTTAGCAATTTTTTGAAACTGCTAGTAGTTTTTGAAAGGGATTAGCATTGATAGAAATAGGAACTGAGACCGGTATATAAGCAGATATACTTATGATGCAGTCGTTTGCCACTTTGAGAGGAAAGGTTTTGTTGGACTTTTTAACACTCTATTGAGTCCCAGGGCTTACAAAATGGCAGCCTAGATCAGGAGTCGATGGTAACTGACTCAGTTCCTTATCAATCCCTTTTATTGGTGCTTGCTTAATTTTGCCAGATAACCCGGTAAGGGCTGTCAATGTACTAGACGTGATCTAGATAGGCTGAGTCACCTGGTTGCCCCCCCTTTTTTAAAAAAGTTATTATATATATATATATTTTAAATTTAGAAATAATATCTGAACTTTTTTGGTATAAATTCACACGACAGAGCGTTGGTTCGATGCAGCTGGAATTCGCGATCTGAATCTGTCCAGCCAGGAAACTATTCATGTTTTAGAACATTGCTTTAATCAAAGTTGGGTCTATCAATCAAAGTTGGGTCTATTTTCTATGAAGATGGGATTTGGCATCAGAAAGAGGTGGAAAAGGTTACAAGGCGATGAATCTGTTGGGTACCCAGCATGGCAACCCACCGTGTCAAGAGAAGCCAACCCCCAAAACCATGCAATTGAGAACCATCTGGATCAAAACCAGAACCAGAACCAGATGGAGCTTAACTCAACTCCCATTACCCAAAACCTCACTTGTTCTCATTTGACAAGTCTTTGTGCCCTTTCAAGCCTGCTTTCTAGTTTCTCTTTCCCCCCCTTTGGAGGCTTAATTTCGCTAAAGAAAATGTATATTGTCAGACATGATTAGTATAGAAGGTGTATATTATAATCAATATACATGGGAAGCTTAGGTGTAGTATCATGTATTAGCAAGTGTAGGTATGATCTTATCAGCTTTCATTTATCTATATAAGACTTTCATATGCTTCTTTTTCATCTGATGGATTCTTGGATCAGGTTTCAAAACTACCCACTCTTAACTTCTCTCAAGAGCCAACAACTAGAATCTTCGTCTCTCTTAACAATCCTTTCAAGACAGCCAACTATAGATTCGAAACCCAACTCGACAAGTTGAAATTCTTTGATCCTCCCATTAAATCAGGTTGTGCCGACCGTCTTTGGCCTAGGTTGTATTTGGGCCAGGTTTGCAGCAAAATGTGGGTCTCGTGGGTCGCTCCGGGCTGGGTCTGGTATGATTTGACTCGGCTCGTTCGCCTTTTCATGAACAAATACATTTTGATCATGAACTGTCTTAGGGGAATTGTGAGGGTCTTATAATTTTCTCAATTGTTTGTTAAATTTGTGAGAACGAATAGAAACTTCATTGAGTTCTTCAGTCACACTTCCATATT